ATAATTTTACCTCTTCGGACTTCAAACTGTTATTAAAATGTTTAATTGACTCCTGAAACACAACAATGAGTCAGTAGATTTCTTTCCATCGACCTGATTTTTAGATGTTTTTTTCCTTTTGATTGAGGTGAAAAAGTTTGTTTATTGATGAAAATCAATCACTGGACATAAAGATCCAATAGTGTACAAGTTTATTGATCTATATCCAGATCTGTTATATATTATATCATTAAATAAATGATGCGGTCTGTAGTCACCTCAGATCTTATGGCTTTATTGTGCAATAAATAATAAAATAATAAAACTGATCGTCTTTAAGTAACAGAAACTCATTTTTTTATGTTAAAAAATATTATTGATTAAGTTGCTTTTACTCGTAAATTTAAGTGTCACTAACTTGCAGAAACATTCCTGATTAATAAGTTTTTCCTGGATGTTTTGAGTTGAGTGTGTTTTACTTAAAAAGTTTGATGTGATCAGTTGTAACTATTTTATTTTGTTTGTTTAAAGAAGATTTAAGTTCTGTGAACACATTTTAAATAAGTTTGTATGAGAGTTTAACTTCAGTTAACTAAATAAAATTAGTACAATTAACTTAATTTACCTCAAATTACTTGAGTTACTTCTCAAATATCTTTCATGCTTAAATTGTTTGATTTAACTGTTTAAATCGATCCGTTCTGCGTTGAACTAACTCATCTGATAATCCTGATCTATAAAGTATCGTAATTATTGATTACAGAGTCCCTCCAGCCGGCAGGTGATTGGTACAGTTAAGAGTTCAAAGAGCTCCTGATCGCCTCCGTCTCTGTCTGTGTTGTATAACGGGGGCTGGACGGGTATCAGCGGCGGCCTGCTCCTCCTCGCCGTGTCCCGTCCCGGTCTGTGACAGGCAGCACTCGAGCTCTTTGATGTGACAGACAGACAGACAGACAGACAGACAGACAGACAGACGGGGAACTATAATGTTTAAAATGTGGTCTACAATATTTGCTTCTGAAATAAATCAATAAAACTTTTGTACTCTTACTGTAATCGAGTATTTATTACATCGTTTTACGGGTTCTTTTACTTTGATAAAGTATCTGAGAACATAATACTGAATATAATGTTATATAGGAGATAATAATTACTTTAATAGTTTATATTCTTGATAATACTTCTGATTTTTAACATGTCTTTCATCTTGTTTAAAGACTTTTATTCTATTTTAGTTGATTTTATTTTGTAGGTTTTCTCCTCGTGTGAAACACTTTGTTTTGAAAACTACAATATTTGCTTCTGAAATAAATTCTGCTGATAAGAAAACGTCTTTTACTTTTACTTGTAATAGCTACATTTGTTCACTTTGTGTCCATTCAGAGCTCATGAATTCAGTTTATATGAATATATACACAGTAAAGCATCCATTAAAAGCAGGTCTCCTTTAGAGGCCTGGTGGGGATTTTTTTTGTGGAAGTATCAGTTGATCAAATCAATGATTCAGGTTATTCGAAAGCTTCAATTTTTATACAATATTCATATAAATAAACAATCTGATAGTTAGGACAGTAAGTTTATAAGAAAACAACTGTTGGTCGTATAAAATGAGACAGATTTGCAATAAATTCTGCTTTTAACTGTGAATATTTCAGCCTCAGTCACAGAATTAAAGGGATGCAGGATGGATTTAAATTGAAAATACATGAGCCTGTATGAACAGTAAATACATATTAATGCAGAGACACGTATTTGTGTGTATATATATATATATATATATATATATATATATATATATATATATACTGTAAGGTGAATAAAAACGTTTAAAAACACACAAGAAAAAGACAATCAGTGTTTAAATTGCACCAAAATGAACCTGGACTTGAAAAGTAGAATGTAAAGTAAAGTGTTGAATATTGACTTGAGACTCTTTTTATAGCTGTAACAATATTTAGATTAATGGTTGAGTTGATTTATATCTTTTTTTAAAAGCAGAAATGTGAAGATTTGCTTGTTTCCCCTATATTTCAGTCTCAGGGTGGATTCAGATTCAAAATACATGAAATTATATTTACACTACATATAAAATATATGTGAAAAACACTAAAAAAAGACAAAATCAGTCAACAAAATGCCCCAAAATGAACCTGGACTCAAAGTAAAGGTAGAATAAAACGTGAGTAAAGTACCTAAACAGAGTACTTAAGTACAGTACTTAGAGTAAATGTACTCTCACTCATAATGGAAACTCACTCATCTGATCTCATTGTGTCGCTTTCAATGCTAAAATGGGGATTTTGGGATCAAGTTAAAGTGACTGATAACGACCTGAAGAGGATGATCCCACCTGTGAAGTGGCTCATAACCTTCCTCCCTCCTCCTCCTCCTCCTCCTCCTCCTCGGTGCCGGACTGACCCGAGACTGTCTCCGGGGAGGACAGGGGAGGACAGGGAGGCGCTGTTCTGTGTGTAAATGGTTCGCGGGGCTCAGACACAGAGCGGGTTTAAAGGATTAATCGGGTCAATCACGAAGCGGCTCTATTGATAAGATAATGAGAGGTGATCGGCCCGGTCAATGGATCCGTCCATGCGCCGCTATCTGCGCCTCCAGACGCGCCGTCTGTGCGCAGCGCGGAGGAGGAGGAGAAGGAGGAGGAGGAGGAGGAAGAGGGGAGAGAGGCCGCGGTGCTAACAGCTCATTAACGGATACTGAGACACTTCAAAGGTCGCTGCCTTTGATACCAACACGGATCATAAAACCTGAGCACATCCAGGGGCGTCTCCACGAGAGGGGCCAGAGTTACTTTAAAAGATGTAATCAGTTACTTCATCCAAGTATCACAACATTAAAGTTACTTTAGGTTACTTTTGGATTACCTCGAATGAATACAAGAGAAAATAAATGAATAATATTAAGAATATTCACTGTAATGTGGTACAGTTAAATAAATACAGTTTTTACTGTAGAAATACTACAGATACTAATACTGTACAGACAAGGTGCACTGAACAGTAAAACTTTGGTTCAAATAAAAAAAAGTAATTAATCTCACAAAATATTTTATATTGACTTAATGTAAATAATTTATTCAGTTCAACCTGAATTTTTTAACTAAATTTCAACCTTTTTTTGAGGTTTGGAGCAAAAAATGAGCTATAAATACATTTTGATCGACACTCCCGAACAAAGATAGGATGTAAATATAAAAGAATAAAGAAAAAATACAAACAAACAAAGAAAAACAAAGAATTCATTTCATAAAAGTTTGAGTTTTTAAAACAAAATTTAACTAAACTTCTACTTTTACTTTGTATAATCTTTAATGTTTGAATTCATCTTTCTTGTGATTATTGATCATGTAGGATCACGTTTCTTAAATCCTGATCGATTAAAAGAGAGATTACGCAACCTAAAAGCTCATCAGTGTTAAATCTGTTGTTACAGTTTGTCTTTAATCTACAGGGATCATCCCGGATTAGCTGCAGCTGTTATATTAAACCACTCACCGCTCATTATGTCAGTTATTTAACCTAAAGCCTCCTTTTAATGGAAGATAAAATGTAATTTAGTTGTTATGATGAAGCAGTTTATCACACTCGAATCACAGTTTGATTAATGACTGTTTGGAAAAGCAACACAATTGTTTTTCATCAGTCAATCTGCAGAAAAATGTGATAAATTCTCTTTATTTAAAGTCCTGTAACAATTTACCAGAATGTAAACTGGCATGTTCACGTTCTCTGTTTGACCTAAAGAGTCCAAAACACAAATATATTCAATTTACAAACATAGAAACAAAGAAAAGCTGCAAATATTTACATTTTAGAAGCTTATTTCTGAGATTGAGACTCAAATATTCTCTGATAAAAGCAGAATTAAAAGTCCAAAACTGAAACATATTCCATTTATTTTAAATATAAAACCAAGAAAAGCTCTTTGGAGTTTTATTCCATATTTTACTGTATAAATACAAGTTTTTGCCATGAAATATATACTGTGGTTTTCTTTGCAATTTACAGTCCTTGTTCTGTATTTGTACTTTATTCCATGTAAATTCCGTTAAAATGTGTATAAATAAAGGTTTTTAATGTGTTTTACTGTTACAGAAACTTTATTCAACTTATTTAGAGTTTACGTTTAAGTTTTGAAATGAACTAAAACAAGTTTTTCTGATCTTTTGTTGAAATTATTTACTTTTCTTCTTTAGAAAAACTTTATAAACAGAAAATTTTGTATTTTACTTACTTTTTATCAAAAAGAAGAGCAGAGAACCTTATTTTTCATGATTTGATGCTTAAATTATATATATTCAATTATGAAATACAGATTTTTTTGTTTCTAAAACTTTCAAGTTTTTTCAACCTTTTAAAAGAGTTTGACTTAAAGTTGCCTTGAAATGATGAAGTTCAGACTTTCTGTGCTTTGATTTCTACATTTCAAACAGACTTTACATCATCGTTTGACTTCTCATTTTGTCTCTTTGATGAAGAATAAATCTGCCGGGAACCCAAAATACAAGAAAGATCCCACAGATGCTCATAAAAACTGTACAAATCTGTTGTGAACATTTGATTATACAGAGAAGAACACAGAGTTCAGGGGTCTGTATGTATTTATTTACAGTATGGACGGCTGTAGGGGAGGTGCAGACACTTTGGGCTGAGGTGTGTCTATTATCTGTTTTGGGAGGCAGGAAGGAGGGGAGGTGGAGCTGGAGGTGGGGGTCCTTCCCAGACTCACTGGAGCCTCGTTGTAACAGCCTCATTGAGACTGAATGAGACGTCTTAATTACTCCAGTTGTGAAAACTAAAAGAGGGGAGTGAGGGAGGGAGGGAGGGGAGGATGTGTGCTTTGATCTCTGGGCTGAGGGAGTCTCAGATGAGGAGGGATGTCCCCTATAAATACAGCTCTGATCATGGAATGGGGCTCAGTCAGGACTCTCTTCCAGCACCAGGACAGGAAACCTCCTGGGAACAAGAACTTTAAAGGATTTAACTCTCTCAGGGACTTCAGGAGACATGAGGGGACATTTTTCTATCGAGTGGATGGCTCAGAGCAGCCAGCCGGCGGGGACCGAGACCGGCTCGGCCTCCGGACCCGAGACCTGTGGGACACATTCAGAGAGTCTGCCGGGTTTTTACTGCAGGCAGAAGTCTGAAAATGTCCCAGAACAGGAAGAAACCAGGAGCCAGAACCGGGACGCCTTCAGCCCGAGCTCCCTGCAGCACCAGACCCCCCACAGTAATCCAGGTAAGACCACAGAGTAGTTAAACATGTATTTTATAAGTAACTTTAAGTCCCTATTGAGACATATCTTTACAAATACACAGATACAAATACATAATCTACTTAAAATGAGTTATTTAATGTTTATATACTGTTTATTAACACTAAATAGGGAATAAAGTAATGTATTTAAAGGTAACTGCAAGTAAACATTTGTGTTCTTTACTCGAGTATTCCCATTTTAAACTTCTAACAAGCATTTAACAAATACTTTATAACGCACTATAATGACGTTGTAAGCAGCTATGAGGACATTTTAAGTCTTTATTAATGAAAAATAACCTCCTCTATTAAGTCACATTTTACTCTTTAACTCATATCTACTTAAAATGACTAATTACATCTTTATATGCTGCTTATAAATGCTAAAAGGGTCTAAAACAAAGTATTTTATAGGCTACTGTAAGTAAAAAGTTGTGGTACTTGACCTTAACTTCAGGAATACCATTTTTATGCTACTTTATACTTTTAACAAACATTTAATAAACACACTGTAATGCAGTTATAAGCAGATTTGAGGACATTTAAAGTGTTAATTATTGAATAATTATAACTTTCCCTGTGAAAACTTATTTTATATTCACTTATATCTACTTAAAATGATTTAAGTGTGTTTTAAACTATTTATTACATGTTTATTAACTATCTATTAACGTTAAATAAGGTGTAAAACTGTATTTTTATGGTTACTTTATACTTCTACTGATACAAATACTGTACTTTTTATTTCAGTAGATTTATTTTACAACAAGATTTTTACATATAAAACATATAAAGAGTTTATAAAATATAATATAACAGTACAAGTAAACTATTAGTTGATTAATTGATTAGTTTATTGATTTAAAATGAACTAGTAACTATTGTTTAAGTCTCTTTTTATTGTTGAGAAGCCGAACATCCTCATCTAACACTGATTTCTCCTTCATTGGTGTCTCCAGTGACTGAGGCGGGCTTCAGCAGCGGGACGGAGGAGGAGACCTCCGGGTACGAGAGCGAAGGCAGTCGCTCCCTCTCACCCTCGACCCTCGCGGACTGTGCCTCCACCCCTCCGGCGTCCCCCCTGTTGGGGAGGAGACCCCGTACGGCGTTCACGGCAGAGCAGATCAGCAGCATGGAGAGGGCCTTCAAGAGGAACGCCTACCTGGGAACGCAAGACAAAGCCGAGCTCTGCAAGAAGCTCAACCTGTCGGACAAACAGGTAACCATCCTCAATCTGTTATCAATATATCAGACATCCTCAATCTGTTATCAATATATCAGACATCCTCAGTCTGTTATCAATATATCAGACATCCTCAATCTGTTATCAATATATCGGACATCCTCAATCTGATATCAATATATCGGACGTCTGAGGTCACTAAGCTCTTGAGAATTTGTTAGCTTTCTAACTAAAAACTTCATGAGGAGTTTTTTATGAGCTGATTTCAGTATTTCTAGACTCAAAATGTACTTATAAGACAATAAAATGATTTTAAAAAAATTTAACAGAAGTACCTAAAATAAAAAACAGTTAACTGAATACATAAAATAGGCAAATTCTTGTCATTTTTTGATTGTAGAAATTAAATTTCTCATGCTCTAACAACGTGGTTAAAATATTTTAGGGAGTTTTAAGAAGGTTTGACTCAGTATTTAATATTTTTCAAATTTTATTTATTTGTTTTTAATTAATTGATTTATATATTTACCAAAAAAAATTATTTGATTTTGTGTAATTATTTTGTATTATTTGTAGGAGTCAGCATTTTATATATATTTGTGTTGATTTATTTATTTTATTCTAATTTATTTATTTTTTACATGACAATCTTTGGTTTGTTATATTATATTATAATTTTTTTATTATTGATTTATTGATTTATTTTTTTCTTTTGGTTTTATATTATTTTATATTATATTATTTTTGATTATATTATATTATATTATTTTATGTTATATTAAAGTATTTTATTTTATTTTATCTTATTTTATCTTATTTTATCTTATTTTATTTTATTTTATTTTATTTTATTTTATTTTATTTTATTTTATTGTTTGCAAGACATTTTATTGTTCCTCAGTCTAAACTTTTAAATCTCTTCTCCTCAGATCAGAAACTGGTTCCAGAACCGGCGGATGAAGCTGAAGAGGACGGTGCAGGACGCCCTCGCTCACGCCTGCCAGGCCAACGTCGCCTCCCAGCTGCTGCATTACCCCGAGCTGCAGGCCTACAGACCGGCTCCGTACCCCAGGTATCACTCAGCAGGAGCCCCGGAGGGCCCGGCTGCAGCCTCCTACGTCCACCCACACAGCCTCCAGTACAGCTCCTCTCTGCCCCTGGACTCCTTCTACCAGTACAACAACCTCCCAGGAGTCATGCTGCCCTCGGCCTCCGCTCAGCTCATGGGCTCCTACCCGACCTACCCTCAGTTTTACTGAGCCTTCGGTCACTGCAGCTACTTTTAATACTTTCATATTTTGTCAGACAAAATGCGATTTTATTTCCTGAACATAAAAATGTTCCTGCGTTATCCTAATAGGATGGAAACAGTTCCTCGTGTGCAATATTGTGATAAGTGTTTGTATCTCTGCTTGTAACGGATGTATAGTTTGGATATATTTAAATTTGAATCTATGAAGTGTTTTATTAGATTTTTGTTGTTATGTAACTGTGAAATCAAACTGCTAAAATAAACTCATTATTAAAACTTTACACGTTATCTGATGTGTTATTTATCTGTATTATATATATGTATGTGTACTGTACTTGAGGGAAAAATTATAGTTTTATATTGTAATTAAGATTTTACATATAAATCATTTGATCAGTTTATAAAATATGATGCTTTTTTAAAGATATAAAAGTATATAAAGTGTTACCAGTGATACTGATTAAGGCTCTGTTCCTCTCCAGTGAGGATTAGAATTAGTTTCACTGGGTTTACCCTCGTGTCAAAATGCCCGCCGTGAGAAAGGTAATTTGTCCTCTTTTGAGGTTTAGGTTAACATTTTAATTCACTTATTCTCCAGATGTCTCTTCATTTGTGTTTTTGTTATTTACTCAGATACAGATTCAAAATACTTGATAATTTTCTTCTTGTGTAACTTTATTCTTCTACTCCAGTAGTTCCCAACCATTTTCCTTTAGAGACCCTTTTTTCTATCATTCAGTAAAATGACTTTTTTATGGATATTATATATTATATTAAACTGTACAATGAACCCAGTGAACTCAGTAACAGTAAGAAGTTTGTGTAAAACATTTAATTTGGATGAATTTTGAGCGGATTATTTCCTGTTTTGGGATCTTTTTATACAACTTTCTGTCTATACTATGTATTTTTTATCATCTTTAACAAACATACAGATTTAATAGGCTTCTTTTTGACAAATTCAGTGTTTTCTTGTCTCTGGTTCTTGTCCCAAATACTGAGATATCGGCCTACTGTGTGTATTTGTAAAGTTGCCTACATATCTTAAAATCATGAAGACCTCTTGACCCCCTGTGAAGCTTTAGCGACCCCTAGTGGGGGTCCTAGTCCCTAGGTTGGGAACCACCACTAGATCTCAGAGGTAAATACTTTATACTACATTTATCTGACAGCTTCAGTTGCTCTTCTACCTTCGACCTTTCCTCTCCAGTGTGAAACCTCGTATCTCCAGATGTGCTGATGTTGAAGGATGAAGAGTTCCTTTATGTGTTGTGAAACTTCTTGAGCTAAATAATCTATTTAAAAACCCTCTTGGGATTAGCTGGAAAATGCATCGTCACAAAGCTGAAAACAGGGTTGTTTTTCTGGATTTCAGCTTCTGGTTTTAATGTTGCACAATGGCTGAGGAATCATGGAACAATGTGTGTTTTTCAGTAGCTGTTATTAGTCTCGTGTTCTCGGTAATATTTCTGGGAATTTAGTGGGTTTAATGGCAAAAGAGAAGTTTATATGAACACTGGTTCTAATATTTGATCTGCAATATTCTCATCAATAGTACAAATATACTGTAAACTGTTGTTATTTACATATTTTCCATACATGATTGTTATATATTGTAGTATTAAGCACATATTTTCTTATTTGTTTAGAAACTTTAGCAACTGTGAAGCAACCAATTCGACCCCGGGGATAAATAAGTAAATAAATGAATAAAAATAAAACCAGATTAGTATCTGAATTACGTACCTGGTAATGTGGAGAAGAATTTGAAACAGGATTTAGACTTTAATATTTACATAAAATACAAAAAGAGTTAAATGACTGAATAAAATCTGACGTTTAATCTGGAATCTTAACTACAGTATTTCTATATAAAATCAAACATCCCTGCGTACAAACACTGAACAAGGTTAACCAGCTCATCACACCTCACTCAGGAGTGAATCCAGCTCTAATTATTAGTTACCTATTTACTTGTTTAAGCATCTGTTATGTTGGAAGTGGAAACAGAACAGGAAACTCACAATTAAAATACTGGAGGGATGAGATATTTCATGACCCACAAATAGAGACGAGTTGTTGGAAAGGATTTTGGGAAGCAGTAGCAAACAGCACACACACACATTTTGTACATTTTGGGAAGAGGTGGAAAACCTTTTGAAGTTAGAAAATATGTTGGGTATTAAATTACGAGGGAGGATACAACTGGTCGACATGCAGCTCTTTAATACATCACAAGTGACGGCTGTGAAGCAGGTGAGAAAGACAAACTTTAGACAAGGAGAAATAAACTTTTAGAATCAGAGACCAGAGAGGAAAATGCACTAAGATGTCCCCCAAAGATAGAATAAAATATTATGTTACTTCAGTCTAAGTTAGCTCAGATCTCTTTTCCCCAGTCCCAGTGGACCTTCCCCAACCTACTGCATCACTCACTTTGTTTTGTTTTCTTTCTTTCATTCATTTTCTTTCCCTTTTTCTCCTTTCTTTTAAATTAGCTTTTATTAGATTTAGTGTTTGAGGTGGTTGTGTTTTATATCTTTTATGCTATTCTTTTGTAATTAGTGAAAAAAGTATATGTATATGTGTGTGGATGTCTATATATTTATATATAAACATGCAATGGACATTGATGTAAACAAACAATGGAAGGAATAATAATGAAGGAAACACTACAATAAAGTATAAATAAAGTATTTTCTTTCATATAGCATGTGTCACGTTGAACAAATGTGCTCACTGATGAACACAACAGAGGGCGTTTAAAGTGAAGCAAGCAGCTGCAGTGGTGTATATTTCAGCTGTGGTTTCATCTCCACACTCACAGGTGCTGCTGACACGTCCAGCTGGCAGGAAGTGGGAGAGGAAAACTTACCTGAAAGGCGAATGAAACTATGCTGCCATCTGTGGACAGAGAGGAGGAATGCAATAATAAGGTAGTTGTTGACCGCAGGTTAACATTCGTACTGATAAAAGATTCATAATGAGTAAAACAAGTAGTGGCAACAAAGTTAAAGCATCAAAGTCACTTAAATCATCTTCATTATTATATATTTACAATATTAGATTATTATTATTATGATGTAAGCAGCATTTTAATGTTGTAAACTGTATGTTAAGTTTACTGTTGGGTAATTTAATGTGTAACCTTTCTATATAATTTTAAAAAATTCTCAATCTATAAAGTAGCTAATAGCTGTCAGGTAAATTAACAGTAATAAAAAGTAAAAAAATGTAATATTTAAAATTAAATAACTAAAGTACAGTCAGTTAAAATGGTGGTCAAATCTACTCTGGTAACTATTCAAGATGCAGTTTATATTTCCAAAGCAAATGCAGAATTCAAACTGTTGTTTTAAGGTTATTGTTAATATAACTTAAAGTGAGACTGTGTACGATTTGAGAAGAGAAATAAATCCTTACAAATAAAAAGAAATAAAATGCATCTTTGTTCAGTTCAGTACACTAAACAATATGAAGGACTATTCTTCTGTAGTAGCACTATATGACTTTATCTTGTACTTGTGGCCACGATGTCTGTTGTTGTTATTATTATTATTATTATTCAGCTAAAAAAAGTACATTCTCTTACTTTATTACTGAATTTTATGACTGTTGTATTTACCTTTTAAATAAAGGTCCTATCACCTGACATCAGCTCACAAAGACAGCGTGGAGCAAAATTAACCAGCGGTTGAAAGTAACTAAGTACATTTACTCATGTACTGCACTTAAGTATTTCCATCAAAATAAGATTTTACATACAGAACATGTTGGTAACTTTTAAAATAACAAGCTAACTGTATATTATAGTTAAAACTAATTACACATTAATGTATGTGTATAAATTATTCAATAACATACTTTAAGATGTAATTTTATAACACTTACAGGAGCCACTTTTCTGCATAGTGAGAACTTTTACTTTGACTTTATTTTGCAAATAACAGTTAAATACTTTTACTAAAGTGAAATTTGAGAGACTTTTACTTTTTTACTTTCGTCAAATATGAAATGTAGGACTGTACCTTTATTTGTAAGAGAGTATTTTACCCTGTACTATAAGATGTTGTTGCTCCACAAGCGATGACAAGAAAGATATATCATTAAAATCTACTATAAAACAGTTGTTCCCAAACTGGGGGGGTCGCGAATCCTTCTTGACTTCAAGGAGTGTAAGAAAACTTAAAACACTGAGTCCATATCTCCCAATTTCATTCATTACTGTGAAGAAAACTAGATGAAATTGTTATTTTTAATGTTTAGACTCAAACTTATGATCTAAACTTTGAAGACAGAGCCCTCACACTCTCCAAAGGCCAAGTGTCAGGGGGGAGAAAACACTGAATTAAGTATTTATGATTGTTAAAAGCAATTCCGAATACGGAACTGTATAAAAAAGTTCCTAAAAATATAATTTCTGATGCAACAAATAAATAATCTGCTCAAAGATAAACTTCCTGCAGTTATTGTGTTCACTGTTTGGGTTCATTGTACCGTTTATCTGTTGTTCTTTACTGTTGTGCATTGAATATAATATTAAATATCCATAAAATATGTCAGGGGTCATCTATGAAAAGGGGTCCCTTAAGAAAAAAGGTTGGGAACCACTGTACAAGGTCACAAAACTACTTTGTAGGTATAAAAACAATCTTATTTCCTATTATTACTGTGTGCAGAAAAACAAAGTATGTCGACATACTTTACCAGCTGAAGCCAAAAAACATTAAAAAACATAATTTTCAAGATATTATGTCATAAAAACAAGATTTCACAACCAGAGTCCAAAAAAAAAAAAAAAAAAAAAACCCAAAACAAGAAGTACGCAGACGGAACCCCAATCTGAACCAATGGCTGCAGAGGGATTGTACACGTGACTAAAAAAAAAAATCAACAGACCAATCAGAGAGCCGTAACCGTGTGAACTCGTCGAAGTGGCGGACGGGCGGGCCAATCAGAACGCTCCCTGACGAGCACCCATGATGAGCGTGGAAGCACGGGGGCGCGCGTCGGTCGAGTGCGCGCAGAGAGCAGCTACGCAGGAGAGAGGGGCAGAAGCCGAATGGTGGAGCTGAAGATGGCGGATGGAGACAGCGGGAGTGAGCGCGGTGGTAGCAGCGGGGGAGGAGGCGGAGGTGGAGGAGGTGGAGGCGGCGGCGGCGGCTTCCAGCACTTCCAGCGGGACCAGGAGACCCAGGAGCTGGCGTCCAAGCGCCTCGACATCCAGAACAAGCGGTTCTACCTGGACGTCAAGCAGAACAGCAAAGGCAGGTTCATCAAAATCGCCGAGGTCGGGGCCGGGGGCTCCAAGAGTCGCCTCACCCTCTCCCTGTCGGTGGCGGCGGAGTTCCGTGACTACCTCGGGGATTTCATCGAGCACTACGCCCAGCTGGGGCCTAGCAGTCCGGAGCAGATAGCCCAGGCGAGCGTCGGGGAGGACGGCGGGCCCAGGCGAGCCCTCAAGAGCGAGTTTCTCGTCCGGGAGAACCGCAAGTACTACCTGGACCTGAAGGAGAACCAGCGGGGGAGGTTCCTGCGCATCCGGCAGACCGTGAACCGCGGGCCTGGCTTCGGAGTTGGGGGCCCCGTGGGCGGCATGCTGGCCGGCCAGACCATAGCCCTTCCGGCGCAGGGGCTCATAGAGTTCAGAGACGCCCTTGCGAAGCTCATTGATGATTACGGGGGAGACGACGAGGAGCTGGCCGGAGGCATGGCCGCCGGGGGCTACAGCGAGCTCCCCGAGGGCACCTCCATCATGGTGGACTCCAAGCGGTTCTTTTTCGACGTCGGGTCCAACAAATACGGGGTGTTCCTGCGGGTGAGCGAGGTGAAGCCCAGCTACAGGAACTCTATCACCATCCCCTTCAAAGCCTGGGGCAAGTTCGGAGGCGCTTTCTCCAGATACGCGGAGGAGATGAAGGAGATCCAGGAGAGGCAGAGGGATAAGATGTACGAGAGGAGGGATGAGTCCGAGGGAGATGATGTGGATGACGACTGAGGAGAAGAATTAAAAAAAATAATAAAAAAGTCCAGTTACATGACAGATCTGCAATATAGGGGTATTTTGAATTTAAAAAAATAAAAAAAAGAAGACAGATAAAGTGCATGACAACTCGTGCTGTAATAGCCTACTAAAGTATTGTGGAGTATATAAAAAAAAAGAAAAAAAAAGTACATGTGCAGGGAAATTATTGGTGTATTATTCCTAAAAAGTTTGTAGGGTTTGAGGGTGTTGGAGTGGTTGTGTGAATCTCTGAAAGTTTAAAATAATAAGTGGACTAAATGAGAGAGAAATTCTCATTGGCTGATTAAAAAAAAAAAAAAAAGAATAAAAATTTAAAAAAGAGTGCTTTATTATTGTTTAAAGATACAAAAAAAAAAATTAAGAGGAAAACTAAAACCAGCAGATTGGTTTTTATAAGTAGAAAATGAAACCGGACGAATGCTTTCCTATTTGCAACATAGTTTATATTTAAAGAGCGCAGGAGTCGACCTGTTTAAGATGTTTTCCTTGCTCAGTTTTAAGGAGAGAAACAGCATCCATTGTATTCCTGTTCCAGTCCAGGTCTCTCCTCAGTGGGGGGGGTGTTTAATGTGTGTGTGTGTGTGTGTGCGTGTGTGTGTGTGTGCGCAAGTCAGATGAACCTGAGATGGAAATGTAAAGAAAGTTGCATTAGAGATGGAGAGCTGTCACATTACAGCAAGCAGCAGCAGCAGCAGCAGCAAGGGGGCAGTTAATCGAAAAGATTACCCCAAAAAATGTTACAGGGGGAAGTTACTGAGAGGATTATCTGGAACAACAAAGATGGAGATAGAGAGAGAGAGAGAGAGAGCGCAAGAGAGAGAGAGATGGGGGGGGGCTCGCTAGCGGACTAAAACTAACAGCTTTGACTGCAGTAGTCGACCACAGTGTGGATCAGCTGGGTTTTATGTTATACATACAATCTGGGCTTTCGAGGCGGCGAAGAGGAGGAGGAGGAGGAGGAGGAGAGTGCTTCCTCACACCAGAGCATCCCTGGTGTTGTGAGGATGTCAGAAACCAGAAGGCCAAACAAAGTGGGGTGAGGACTGTCTTCAGTGCCCCCCCCCCCCCCCCACCGCCACCACCAGGGACAACGTACAGATCTATATGAGACTTATAACGATGCTCATTTGCTCCCAAACGCCACTACAAGGGTCCAAAAACTGGGAGCGCTGCATCGGATACAGTGGAGCTTCTCTGACCTTCCAAGCTCTGAGCGGAGGTTTTCTTTCTTCCCATGAGCCTCTCTGTTCTGTCGTGGTCAGAGCTGCAATGTACGGACGGCTGTCTTCACCAAAGCCACGGGCCATTTATCTGACGTAACATCGTCCAAAAACACGTGAAGACCCTGGGCAGAAACACACTGATGGATGTTTTTTTTTTTTGTTGTTTTCAAGAAGAGAAACTATATTGAAATGAGATTCTACTTATAGGAAATTTAAAAAAAAATATTACCGAACAAACCAGCAAAAAGATATTTTGAAATACTTATAAAGGAAAAACAAATGTATTATGTAAATGAAGTTCAAGACTTCAGAAAAAAAAAGGTTAATTTCTTAAAACAAAGTTGTGACTCAGACCTCCAGATTATTTTTCATTTTGTTTTTCCTAGAGTGAAAGTATAACACCTCCTTTAATTAAAACAACTTTAAATGCAATAACCAATGTTGTCACTGTATATTTTTAAATCCCTGTTTTCATAAAGATAATCTATCCGTTCTGCAGTATGATTATTCTCCTTCTTTCCTTCAGTTATTGATTTAATCCTTTGCTCTATGAAATGTTTGAAAAAAGCTCGAAAAGATGTTTTATAAAGTCTTTGAATTGGTTTTTTTTTCCCCGTCCTGCAGCTGAAAACCGAAATATATTCAGTTTATGATGATATTGGACAGAAAAAGCAGCAAATTCTCACATTTTAGGAGCTGAAACTGGATATTTTTTGCTGTTCTTACTCAATAAGTTACTGACATGTTTAATCGATTAACCACACAGTAGCCTAGTGATGATCAATCAGTATTTATTGGTTAGTATTTGTTCTAAAGTTAAGTGAAATCCAGGAATATGAAATCCAGACCAGGATTATTCACTAAAGAGGAAGATTGAAAGAGGCCACAGGAACGGCTGCAACAAGTATCATCAATAAATCTGTTGATCATTTCCTTCATTAATCGATTGGTTGTTTGCTCTAAATCCCGAGGTGACGTCCTCAAATGTCTCGTTTTGTCCTCAGAAGAAAAAAAGAAACCAGAAAATATTCACATTTTAGAAGCTGAAATCAGAATTTGGACATTTTTTCTTCAAAAAATGATTCAAATCGATTAATCGATCATCAAAATAGTTGCTGGTTAATTTAATCGTTGCAGCCACGTGAGGCTTCAACCTCATGTTGAGTTGGTCCAACTGATGATTATCGACATTACTCTCCGATTAATGATTAATGTGACTATATATGTGTCACGTTTAAAATGTGGTTGTTTTTTCAACATAGATTAGCCCCGCATTTAGCATATCTCAGTGCAGGAGAGGAGGAAGATGACTGAGGCTTCTCAACTGTGATTGGAGCACAGAACAAAAAGGGGCGGGACTTAGGAAGGGTCAATTAATCCTAGCAGAATTAGCAACAGGATGTATTACCGGTATCTTTTATACATTGTAACCGATGTATCATATTTTATAAACTGATCATATGTTTTCTAAGAATTGTAACTATTCACTAATTAACTATTTATGAATCGGCAGCTTTATTTTCATATTTAATATTAATTTGAGTTATTTTTAAGCAGAAACATCAAATATTTTCTGGTTTCATCCTGATGAATTTACTGTGTTTCTTTGATAGTGAATCAAATCTCTTGGAACAGTCGGGACAAATCGAAACAATCTGAAGACGACGTTTGTGCTGAGAGAACTTATGATGGACATTTACTACTTTTGGACACTTTAGGGCGGAAATATTTGGCAGATTAATCAATAAAGTTTCCAGTTCAGCTCAATTTTTCGTGGAAAAATGTCAAAAATTCTCTGATTTCAGGAATGTGTTTTTCTTTTTGATAACCAGCAGTGGACCAAATGCTGAGATAAAAGTATTAATACCACAGTGCAGAAATACGTCAAATACAGACCAACATTTCACATTTTTACTAAAGTTAAAGTAAAACCATCAAAATAAAATACCAAAAGTACGTAATAAGCAGCATTTCAGAATAAAATACATTATTTAACTCTCATTATTGATGCTCTAATGTGGAACTAACTGAAATTAATGTGTATATATATTTCATGAATATTGTTTGATATACTGATGTAGTACAAATATAATATATAGAATAAACAATAAGAGGAAGATATAAAGGTATCTTCAGTATGAAGCAGCAGTTACAGCAGGCTGCTGGTAATCCACCAAATATTTACCATAATTTTTCAAGCAAAAATGTCAAAAATTCTCTGATCTCAGCATCTCAGATGTGAGGATTTTCTGGTTTTCTTTGGTGGTGAACTGAATATCTTTGGGTTTTGGACCAACAATCATATAAAACAAGGAATTTAAAGGTGTCACATATTCTCTGGCAGGTAGTGATGGAGGTTTATCACTATTGTTGGATGTTTTTATAGAACTTTATAAACACGTAATGGAGGAAATATTTGGTAATTTTTCAAGCAAAAATGATGTGATCTCATCAGGATTTGCTGCTTTTCTTTGGTGGTAACCTGAATATTTTTGGGTTTTGGAACAGCTTGGGTAGGTAATGATGAACATTTCTCCCCATTTTATCGAACGTTATATAACATAAACGATTAAAATATAAATATATTTATAATATTTGCCAGATTTGGCGATAATCTACCAAATATCAACCATTTTCAAAGCAAAAATGTAAAAAATCAGCAGATGTCAGCTTCCTTTCTTTGTCTTATATGATGGTAAACTGAATATGTTTGGGTTTTGGATTACTGATCATATAAACCCAATTTGAAGACGCCATTTTGTGCCCTGACAAAGAATTTCTAGAGGAAATGAACCCATAAAATGTATAAAATAACCTGCAAATGAATCGTTAATTGCAGCCCAAGTAGGAACTGGAATTGCAAGAGAGTCTGAGGAAACATATGCTTTACAGTTGCTCTCTTCCCACACACTGTTTGACAGCAGCTGTCTCTGAACGCGAATGAAGACTGTCTGCAGGAAGCTGCTCCATACAACAACAGCTTGTTCTCGAGTCCACGGCGAATCCAAAACGATGTGCTTGTTTAGTCGTGGTCGCTCTGCCGTCTGTTAACCACCCTCAGTGCACTTGTGACCTGAACGTATTGTGCAGGGAGCTTATGTCCCGACTCTGGTGTGAGGAACAGAGAGGAGGACGAAGAGGGGGAGGAAGAAAGAGACACTTCAGGGTAATCTGACTCTTCTCTTCCCCTTGTGCTGGATCTTCTTCTTCTTATTCTCCTTTCTCCTCGGCGCTCAGTGGTTCTGTTAACCTGGCAGCTGTCAGGCACCCATGCATAGGCTGTGAGGGTGTGCTGACAGGGCATGCTGGCTATTTTAATGTGCAAGGCCTCCACAGACTTGACATTCCTGGTCAAGGAGTCAGCTGTGCCATTAGGACCTCATTGCCTGGGGACACAGTCGTACAACAGTCTGATTGTGCTGCTGAGATCTGCTCACATGTGGCAGAAACACACTGCGCTGTGTGCCGGCAGGTAGCTCACAGAGACGCTCTGTTCGCGGCAGTAGACCTCGTGTCTGTTCGCGCTGTAATCTGTGGTGAGAGGTTAGTTTGTCGCGGTGAGAAGTGGCTTCCTAATTTTCATTGTCTGCTCTAAACTCCGACGTGGGAATACTGCAGGGGCCGATCTAGAGGGGCGGCGTGAGGGTGGCTGCAACCCTTCAGCTCAGCATCAGAGACCTGCAGAGGACAGAGACTTTAGGGGGCGTGGCCTCATCAGACTGACCACAGCAGCGTAGCACAAACAATGAGCTGGTAGTCAGAGCTAACAGAGCTAACGGAGCTAATGAGCAACTGCTGTCAGACTCTGTGTCCGCGCAGGAAACACAGACAGTCCACTGGAGCCTTTCGAGTCACTAGAAGCACATTCACGCTGTTGTTAGCTGTGTTTTTGTTATGTCCATGTGTCAGTGTATCAAGGTAAAGATTGCAGTCCAGTGCTTCTACAGCGTCTAAAGTCCGAAAAACTGTGCCACAATATAAACATACTAAGTAGAGGGTTAGCAACAACTAGCATAACCTCCTGTGAATGACACTCAAAGCAGAGGCTGGGGGAGGGCCGCCCTCCTCTGGTTAGAGGGCATAAACACCGTTTTTTTACATAAATGTTGTGAAGTAGAGTCGACAGTTTGGTCAACATTTGTCTTAAAACATACAGGCTGATTTAAAACAGTAGAGGGCGAGTTGAGCAATTTTCAACCCACAGATTTGGATATAATGTAAATTTTTAACAGCAGCATTAATGTGTTTCATCACAGTTAACATAGAGTTCAGTTTACAGCTCAAAAAGCACATTTTAGGGTGTAATACCGCTTTAATTTTATGTGTTAAAAAAATAGAAATTAAAAGCTCAGTATGTAGGATTTAGTGGCATCTAATTGCTTCTCCCTCTGTTTCCAAGCGTGAAGGAGAAACTACAGTGGCTGGGAAAAATACAAATGCAGCTATATAGATCCGGTGTTTGGTCTGTCCCTTCTGGGAAGAAACATGAAGGACTCCATGGAAGGCGACATGAGACGTCTGTGGTTTGTCTACTGTACTAGAGTTTCATTTTGTTTGCTGTTTTTGCCGTAAACACATCCAAAGTGCCACCAGCTCCAGATCTGAGCCAGTGTCAGTGCTGCTCAACCTTTAAAAGCGCCGCACATTCTTTGTTCCTGCTGAATCTTGGGAGCTGAGAGGAGGGGAGTGTCATTTTTCATGGAAGTGCCAGGGTTTCCCCTAACCTTCAGAAGCAGCTGAAATCACAAGCTCACAAGAGAATCCATCTTATCTATGGTGACCTGACGCCTCCGTTGGTCTTGTTTGTTTCAACGAGGGTGTCTCAAGTCCCGACAAATATCTGTAGAACACTATAATGACCCAGTTTTCACCACCATAATAATAATATTCTACTTGTTTTCAGTGCTTAGATAGACGTTTACGGAAACAATCCACCACAGGTCTGAATTAAACACTGATTCACACTCTTCCTTTTCCTGACGGTTAGCCACCAGAGCTCCAGGAGGCTAACTCCTTCTATGCAGTTGAAAGGTGTGCTCGGTAGGTGTGCTGCAATAATTGACCCCCATCCTTCCATGCATAAGTGCAAACATCTGCGTGTGCATGAACGTGCAGTACGCTTAAGGGGGTTTGAAAATATTGTCACCTTGACATCTTGTAAGGCTTCAACCTATGTTTTTGTTGTGTCTGAACCACAGCGGTTGACGAACCAATCGGTGTCCTACGAGGAACTTCTGGCTGCTACGGCGTGAGCTACAGGTTGTTTAATGCCAGTATGTGACGACCATCGACGTATATAAAGATGGACGACAGGAGAGCTCTCCAAAAACATCTATATCTAAGTCTCCATGTTAGCAAAAAAAATGGTTTCTGTCATTTTCGGTAGTTTTTATCACACTGATGTTTGTTCAAGAGTTCTTTTCTGTGATAAGTTTGGTTTTAATTAGTTATTTGAAGATACCGCAGCACCAACCTCGATCACGGGATATTTTGGCTTC